ATGGGAGCGAGAGCCAAGGGACGGAGGCCTTGGCAGGCAAGGCGCCCGCCCAGCCAGCGGCCCGCGAAAAGAATTTTGTGCGCATCCCTCCCTTGGGTTGTCTGTTTTCTTTCTTCCTTTTTTCCCCAGTGCCGTTCTCCCATCCCTCCCTTGGGGTGTCTGTTTTTTTTTTTTTTTTTAACAAGGTCCCCCCCAGAAAAAAACCCCAAAAAAAAAGGAAGCGCCAGGGGGGGGGGGTTTCCCAGGAGAGGGAAGGGGGGGGGGGGCCCCCCCCCAAAGAAAAAACCCTTCCAACCCCCCAAAAGTTGGGGGAAAAAGGGCCCCCCAACCCAAAAGGGCCCCCCCCTCCCCCTTAAAATTTGGGCCGGGGCCCCCTTGTGTTTCAGGGGGAACCCCCAGGGGAGAAACCCCGGAGGGGGGGCCCCCCCGGGGGCCCCAAAAACTTTAAGGGTTCCCCCCCAATTGGGAAAAAAAAAATTTTTTTTTTTTTTTTGAAATGGGGGGGGGGGGCCCCCCTTTTTTGGGTCCCCCCCCGGCCCCCTAAAGCCAAGGGGGGCCCCCCCCCCCCCCCGGAAGAAGCGTTTTGTTGTTGGGGGGGTGGGGACCCCCCCCCCCCCCCCCCCAGCAGCAGCGCTCTGCTGCTGGGGGGGTCGGGACCCCCTCCCCAGCAGCAGCGCTCTGCCTGTGGGGGGTGCTGGCATCTTTGTGTACAGACAGCAGCTGTAAGTAGCATGCGTTCGAGTTGCGACCGGCGGCTCCGGCAAGACTTCCCCGGCATGCTGCTTGCTGGAGGCGTATTGTGTCGTGCGAGGGAGTTTCGTTGTAAAATTCTTTTTGCAGAAGCAGCGTATCTCAGTCGTTCTTCACACGGCAATCGCAGAGCAGGTTGTGAATGAGCTTGCCTGTGGCGGGGGTGGGCGGGTGCACGGAGCTAAGTGCCTCGCCACTCTCGCAGGAGTCGCTTAGGCGGCTCCCGTGGTGTACCTGTGTTAGTGCCAGTGCGAGCCAGTCCCGTGCCCCGTAAAAGAAAGAAAACGGACAACCCAAGGGAGGGATGGGAGGCCCGTGCCCCGTGTTGTGCTCGGGAGTAAAATTCTTTTTCAAACAGAGCGCCCACAGCAGCGGCGCCGCAAAAGCAGCACAGCTCCCCTTCCTTCCTCGATGGCCGGCGCCGGCAGCCGCACGGACGACGACTACGACTACCTCTTCAAGGGTGCGCGCGGCGCCGCCGCGCCTCCCCGCGCCACGCCGCGCCGCGCTGCTGGCGCCGCTTCGTTTGGCAGGCCGCGCTGACCGCCGCGCCTGTGCCTGCCCTGCACAGTGGTCATCATCGGCGACTCGGGCGTGGGCAAGTCGAATCTGCTGAGTCGCTTCACCCGCAATGAATTCCACCTCGACTCCAAGTCGACGATCGGCGTAGAGTTTGCGACGCGCTCAATCCAGCACGACGGGAAGATCATTAAAGCGCAGATCTGGGACACCGCCGGTCAGGAGCGCTACCGCGCCATCACGTCGGCGTACTACCGCGGCGCGGTGGGCGCGCTGCTCGTCTATGACATCTCGAAGCGGCTCACCTTTGAGAACGTCGAGCGCTGGCTGAAGGAGTTGCGGTGCGCTGCGCCCGCCGCAGACACCCAGCGCGCGCGGCGCGCGCGCTGTCTCTCTCTCGCTGCGCCGCGCGCGCGCGCGCGCGCGCACCGCTGACCGCCAGGAGGCCGGCGTGCCTGTGCCGCGCGCACAGTCACGACGCCGCCGCACAGCCCCGTGCCGCAGGGCCGGGGCTGCCGCCCCCTGGCCCTCTGTGCGCTGGGCTCGCCGCCGACGCGTCCGCTGCCCTGCGCAGGACGCACGCAGACCCGTCGATTGTGGTGATGCTGGTGGGGAACAAGTGCGACCTCAAGCATTTGCAGGCGTGCGCGACGGAGGACGCAAAGGCCTTTGCGGAGCAGAACAACCTCGCCTTCATCGAGACGTCGGCGCTCGACGCGACCAACGTCGACCTCGCGTTCGAGACGATCCTGATCGAGATCTACCGCATCGTGACGAGGAAGACGCTCGAGGCGGGCGGCGGCGCGGT